TTTACTTAAATAAAATAAATCGTGATGCGTAGTGCAAATATCAAAATAATTGTAAAGTTACAAAAAATTTGATAACAGAAGCCTGAAGACGCATGCACTGAAGATATATTATATGAAATGATATCAAATTTTATAAAAAATAACGAGATATAGACTGGGATATAAAGTTAGCTAATCTGCGAATAAAGTTAATCAATGCTGAAGACCAGCGGCCACATGTAAATCTTTAACAAAGAAAAGATCTACAAGAGAATCGATCTTGAAATCGTGTCTCCGTCTGTCCTCAGGCGAGTAACGCATGCAGCAGGATGCGTCTTTATGCCAGAGTCCTGGGTGAGACGAGTTCCAACAACATGAAAACCTGGCAAAGAGATTACGCCACCGTCCCGATTCGCAAGTGGTTCTTCGACTTGACGTATCATCCATCGTTTCAAGAGTACACTCTGAACTTCATTCCAGAAGCGAAAATCGTAAAGAAAGATCGATCGATGAAGAAAACGAGAAAACTCGAACATTTATCCTACAATGTATTCATTGCGAAAGAAAATAATCATCAATTGTTGCCAACGTTTTTGTTGAATCATGGCGAAAAGCCGGCAAGAAGATTGATGAAGAAATTTAGAAATGTTAGTATACTTCCAAATATGGAGGCATGTTGCAAAGGAGCAGATAAATCGACCGATTGGTTGATACCAGCAATGCTATTAAATATTAAATTGAGGTTATTACATGAGTTCTACGGTTGCATTAAATTTCCTTTGTCTTCATTAAATTTCATAAATTACAAACATAAAAACAATCGCGAAGTGATTTCATTCAATCGCGATAGCGAAACAATGACGAACGATACGTTAAATGTCGTTGAACAGAAAAATTGGATTCGACGAACATGCTCTAAAATCAAATCCATACTCCCAGACCTGCAGGCTAAAATGCGATTCCATTCGACAACCGCATCGGACTTGCATTGTTCGGAAAATATTTTTGTGGTGAACCAAGTGATTCCGTTTTCCAATATAATTTCCAATAATGCGATTCTCTTTGCATCAAAGGATTGCGAAGATGATAAACCGAAGGCTGGCATTCGGAGGAAGATACAGGAATTTTGTATGCAGCGGAAAAAAACTCTTAAGAAGAATAGAGAGAAGAATGATATATGTAACAAAAGAGGGAACTCGTGTGAAAAGAAGACTAATTGCTCCGGGAGAATAACGGCAGACAAGAGACAAAATGTAGTTTCCTGCAAAAATAGAAATAATTCTTGCAATAAAAAATGTTCCGATCCATGTAAATCGAAAAAGAATAATATTTGTGGAACAAAAAAAGATTCTTGCGAACGAAAGGTCCAAGAAGACCCATGTAAAAAGGCAAAGGATGATACTTGCAGTACAAAAGATCCGTGTAAATCGAAAAAGCATGATACTTGTGAAACAGAAGAAGAAGCTTGCATTCCACCATATAACGTAGAGGAAGAACCAAGTTATTATGATCTGTTTGATCATAGTCCATGTAGGTTAAAAAAGGACAAAAATAATGAAGAATGTGGGAAGAAAAAAGAAACAAAAAAGCCTGATTGTTCAAAGATTAAAAAAGTTGATTGTGAGAAGAAAACATGTTCATCTGTTAAAAAGATTCCAGAATGTTCTGATGACACAAAAGGAAAAAACTGTTGAAAATATCTCACTTATGCATTGTTTACGTATAAAATAAAAAAAAAACTTTCAATGTCTCTCTTTTTATATATAGAAATCATAATAGATTTAAAAAACATTTCCGCAAGTATTAATTACAAAATCTATGTTAACTTTAAAATGAATTATTTCGAAACAAAATCTAGTTTATATTAATGTAAATTACTTTAAAAAAAAAATAATTTTTTAATAATATCTTACATCTCTATGAAGTTATATAAGTATATGATATGTTATATATAAATCTGTGAGTAATAATAAATATTATTTTTTTAATACAGTATTGTAAATTTTTTTAGTTATATTCTTTTAAGTATAGAGGTCACAAAAACATTCTAACTAAACAACTATATGATAACATAATTTTTTATTTCAGCCACAACCAGAAAATTTGACTGTGAAGATTTCAAAATCCGAAATAATAGCAGAAGTAAGTTTTTGGAATATTTATTATTATATTTTATTATTATAAAGGGGAATTTAATTATTTTTTTATTTTATAAATAAATTATGAAACTACAACAATTTCTTTCTCGTATTTGAGTATATTTTATTTGCATATGTTTTTAAATAAAATTATACGCGATCAAATTAAAAAAATTATCCAAATATACGTTGAAATACTCGCAAGAATGTTTTATGATCGCTGTGGCTCCACCTCCCTTCTGCCTCTTTTCTCGTTGAATTGTCTACTTTAAACTATTCAAAATCTTACAATACGTATACATGAAAAAGGATATCTTATTCACATAATGAACTATTATAAATTCTATTTCTGATTGCTTTGGTCGTCATCTCTCTGCAGAGAAGAGAGAGTTCAAGTTCATCGATGACATCTGCGGTAAAAATAACGGAAAGTGAAAAACCGATCGAGTTCAATCGGATCCAAGCCAACAGAGATTTTCTATCGATCATCAATTCATACCAACAGTTTACGGAAATCAATTTTGTCAAAGATTTTCAGCAAGATTTCAATTCGACAGTCAATCACAAGGATTGTTTCGCTTTTTCTTTTCTACATAATCATTTTGTCACTCATCTTTGCTATTGCAAGCAGTGTGATAAGTTTGAGGAATCGAAGTTATTGTACGATGCCAACGATGATTATTTCCCTCAAGGTGAAGAATACGAAGACGAGATCGGTACAGATGAATATCAACTAGATAAAAAAATGAAAAAACCTAGTAAAGAACTGCCGATTGTCGACGATGAGTACGATAATTTTCAGCCGATGATGTTGTTTGAAAATAACAAATATGTCAATGGAGGTCCATTAACGAGGTTTATCACACACGTACATTTTTCAAGTATTGAAGAACTAACAGAGCCTAATCGAATAATGCTGATGTTAGAAAAAGTTTCCAACAAGGACGCTGTCGAAAAATTGCAAACTCTGATCGAGAAAGTAGCAGAGCTCAAGCGTCGAGTTTTCCGATCCAAACGTAAAGCACCGAAAATCGAGGCTACGGACGGAAAAAATGAAAAAAAAATTATCAATGAAAACAAGGACAATGAATCAATGAAAATAGAAACAACAAATCAATAAATTGATCCTATTTTTTGTATGAATCAAAAGATCTCTGTGTAAGCACGTAAGCATTAAGCTAGATTATAGCTTCTCTATTACATTCATGAACTATATTCGCATCAAATCATTATTTTCATTCTTTATCCATAAAAGAATACAAGCGCTTTGCTTTTGTCTTGTTAAACTTTCTAAAGGAGGGAGGTGGGCCAAGAGCGCTGGTCGGGATTACCGCGAGATTATTGAGGAAGTAAAATCCTTCACGAATTAATACGTAAAAACCAGCAGGCAGTTAGTGGCAGAGTACTGCGGCTAGGTGAGCCAGACTGTGGCGAAGAACCGCCTAATGAACCAAAAAAGCATCCATGCGATCCACCCAAGGGCCCCTGTCAGCCCGTCGAACCACCGGGTTATCCCCCCAAGCCAAAACCCAAAAAAAAACCATTCTGCGTTCAATGCCCACCCAAGAAACCGTGCAAGAAAGAGAAATGCTGAATCGCGTCAGTAAGAGACAGAAGGTACGTGGAGGCATCAGCGGCTATCATAAATATCATTGATGGAAACGAAGAGCTGTTGTTATTTCTAGAAAAATATAAATATATATTTCTTTATCTTCATCTCTCTTTCTGAATTCCGCAGGCTATCCAGAAGCTAAAGTTCGTACAAACGGAAACTTTCCAAAGAAGTCTACCAAAGCCTATCTTTGGAATAGGAGAATTAGGAATTAATCGATGGAACTATAAAGTTTATTCGATGAATGTGTTCAACTCAGGATTCATTTCCACAAGAGATTCCTTCAAGCCTAGAAACATCTTTTTAAGGCATAAATCATTTGATCGGATTCACGAACAATCAAGAAAATATTTTTTGAAACGTTCATTCATGACGAAATGTAAACTGCCGGCTTTGAATAGACCAGTATCGGCAATGTCAGTCTGCCATTCAACAGTTCCACCTTCTTATCTACCATTTTTAAAATTCTACGGATTCATTGAGAAATATTTTCTGCTCTATCATAATACTTTGTCATCGCTATCTTGTCATTATAAATCAGTCAGTTTGCTACGTTCTTCCGCTTTATATTCGAAATTCGTAAAGAAGCCGCCATTTTTAAAGATCTGTGAGAAGGATTCACAATTTCTGGAATGTCTGGAATACTCGAAGTTATTAGCACCGTCTTCCAAATACTTAGCGTGCCTCGAATATTTGTTAAAATGGAAACTCCTATCTCCAGAACTTTGCAAACAATATTTTTTATCATGTTCTATGTCTCGTTTAACGTGCTCACATTCATTTTCACAATGCTCACGAAATGTTTCCAAAAACATTCAGGAAATATCCAAGAAGCTTCCAAAATTACAAAGGAATAAAACTTATAAGACATCTTCTCATCGTAATGTCTGTTATCCGATTTTCCTGCACAGGCGTGGCTCTCTTCACTGGCGAGGATTTCACAGTTCTTTGTTTCCACTTGCTAAATCAGATTCTAGTAAGCCTTCCGCTTGCAAGCAAATGGATGAAATCTGCAAACCGACCGAGGTAAAGAAAGAGTGTGGCAAACCTTGCAAAGAAAAGAGCGACGTTTGTCACCAAGAAAAGGTCAAGTGCAATAAGTCACAGCAAAACAAGAAGACGGAACAAAACCTAAAGAAAGAGGAAAAGATCGTGGATTCCGATTGTGGGAAGATATCTGATTGTCTGCCAATAGGCAAGTGCGAACTGCCTCGAACTCTTCCACCAGAGAAGATGAAGTACGCAAAGATAACGTGCGCTCCGCCAAAGTTTGTCAAGCCTAAATCTTGTCCACATGTGGAACACTTGAAGAAAGATGAATCTGATATAAAGCCTAAACCGACTACCGTCAAAAAGAAGAAAATTTGTGCTCCACCACCATTGCCGAAGCCACCTAACGCACCTATCATGCTTTGTCCCTGCTCACCACCACCCAAACTACATCCTGGCTCGTGTCCGTGCTACGAGACGAAAGCATTAAAAGAGCGACCCTCGACACAACCGTGTCTGTTGAAGAAGAAATATCCCTGTCCCTCTGGCATATATGTTTGTCCTCCGCAAAATAAGCCATGCAAAATAAAACAATTACCTGAAGTAAATAAATGCGATAAGAAGAAAAAGAATACGTCGGCATCTTGAAGCATCGTATGAGAAATGAATGTAGCATAATATATTGGTCATTATTTCTTAAACGCATAACCAGAAAGTTGAAAAAATTTTAACAAAAAAGAGGATTTACGTTAAACAAGTTTCAAATATCAAATAATTTTTTCAAAAAATTGAACATTTATTTGTTTTGTGAAAAATTTGATGAAATAATGATTGGTTATTGTTTAAAAATATACACAGGATGGTAGTAAGGAATAAGTTTTACAAAAAAATATCTTAAGATATAAGAAAACAAAAATAAATGCGCACAGCAGTGATTTCTGCGAGATCTATGAAATTAGAGATTCGGTCTCCTGGATCGATAATTATCAACAATTTAAGGCCGACTTGTTCATCTTCTGTCAGATCTGCGATTGATAGTGTATTTCTCCGTCTAATGATTTCATTTTGTCTATCTGTAATTTTTTTTTTCAAGGAAGCACCACTGATCGCGAGAGTTTAGTGTAAGGTGAACAAACCGGCTGCCGATACATGTTGCTTGTCGCGTGACTAACGGATTATCTATTTTAAAATTATATGCTGATAGGCATATATATTAATGCGTGTGCGTGTTCAGTCTAACATAGAAGGATTCCTACAAATATTAGCTACAATTCGATAAATGTGTAATGTTTATCGAAATGTATCAACTTAAAAATATAAACACACCATGCATATCAAAATCATACGTTATAAAATAAATTTGTTGTGGATGATTTCCGATATTATTATGTATAAAAATTTAATTTGCATAATTATTTTTTATACCAACACAAGAAATGGTTAATTTATTTGATTTAGCTAAAAGAGTTTAAAAATAAATTATTTTTGTTATATTGAATAGACTTTGTTGGTCATGCGGCATTCGATGTGTATCTTACTAATTTTTTTAAAGAAAAAATTCAAGTCTAAATTCGAATAGATCTCGCAGCTAATTATACAAAATGTATTGTTTTCCCTTTGCGCGTATTGCACAAATTAACACCGTAATGCTGCACAGAAAAGCGATGAATATAAACTAGCGATATAAATGAATCAACTAACCGATATAAATAAATTCATATTAAATTTATGAAACGCAAGCTCGGGAATTAGATTTGTATCTTTTTCATTTTTCTCTGTTGTCTAATACAAAATATAGATATACAAGATGCTAAATTCTTGTGAGGATTTAAACAAAATATTTGTCAATTATTAAAATAAATTTTTGTGATATAAAGAAAGGCTTTTAGTTTATTTATTATGTATCGACTATAGAAACTTTAACTGCACATTTATCGATTATGTATATTATACATTTTATAAATAAAGTCTTTTCTATTAATATTATTTAACATTGACTTTTTTCGAATACAAAAATGTGATAATTGTTTGTATTTTCCCGGCAACTCGATATGGAAGAGACGGCTGTAGGTTTCAATGAAAGCCTCACATTTTGCGAGTTTCACTACCATCTCTGCTCAACGATAGGTCATATCCATTCCTACGATGCGTTTTAACAGGGACGAAATGCGGGAACGATAGGCGGGATGAAAGGGAGGACGAACAGTGGATTGCTATGAACAGAGAAAATCGATTTCTACTGTTGGTGATCGGTTCCAATGTTTGATTCGATCCCGTTTGTGTACGCGATAATAATCGTGGCTGTACGTGCGGACGCCGTTTCTGCCGATTTCGACGTATATCATGCGAATGTGTGCGTACCGGCAAGCGAACGATACGAAATCGGCATCAAAAGCGTCTCGTTACAATAATATCGACATTTATATACGACGGGGTTTCAGCTGGGTGGAAGTTTGGGCGGCGGAAAGACGAAGGTCCTTATCATTTTATTATAGGGGTGGGTAGACAACCCTCGCCCTTCTCCGAACGATACTTTACTTTTACCTCCCATTGTCTGTCTCTCGAGTTGGGCCTCGACGCTCTCTTAAAGGCTTAAGCGCCATCTCCAAGCGTCCAATAGGATAATCTAGCCTTTCCACTTCGCTTCCTGTTTATTAAAATGGAAGCGACTCAGTCGCTTTTGGCGTTCACACCATTGCAGAGTCACGTATGTTTTAATTTTGTTGTCATTTAAAAAAAAAAAAACTCTCTAATACAAATATAAATTATAATTGTAATTATATAAATATAATACACGTATATAAAAAAAATTGATGTATACCTTTATATAATTATGCAAATAGCATTTTCTATCCTCCTTGTATGATTTGTTGAATTGACACAGACTTCAGATCGGAAAAAATATTTTAGTCTTAGTATATCGTTTGATAAGAAAAATTATAATTTTTATTAAAAATAATACAGATTTCAATAAAAATGCATTCGGTATATACTATATATTTCTATATAGTATTATATCAATTGCCGGGAATCCAAGAGAGCGGTCTCGGCCGAAATCGCTTTCGATGAGAGAGTTATCTCGCGCTCGCGGAAACTTCTCCCACGGCGTTCTCCTCACGCCAGGTTTCACCGGTGCAAGATATCGCGAGCATTATCACGAGCGTTCACCGTGATTGGTCGGATTCGAGGGTATCGTCTCTTTTTCCACCCTCTCGCTCGACCAATAAGTGACGTTTCCAACCGAGAAAGGGTGCGCGGAGGGTAGGGAGCTCGAAAGGGGGTGGCAATTCGGCGAGAGAGACGAGACGTGCAATGTTCCGAGGGGGTTGCGAAGGAGGGAGACGAGGAGGAAGTGAAGCGATAGAGGAGGTGGAGGAGGAGGAGGAGGAGGAGGTGGTAGTGGAGGACGAGGAGACGGGAAGGGGAGAAAACTCTCTGCGTGGAAGAGAGCCGAGCGGGTCGGGCTTCTCGGTGGAAACAAGCGGGATGGATAAACTTCGGAGCGACTGTCCCCGAGGCTGATGCATAATTCAGGAATCGTCACCGGCGAGGATATTGCCAATTTGGCGTCGATGAAAATACGATCGGATTTGTGTCGGCTACCGCCCAGAATGGGGCTCGCTCTCGCCAGGATACACATCCAGTGAATTTAACACCTTCGCCCGACCGACCGACCGCCCACCCTGCCGTACGTAATTGCATCGCAACCAATCCGCGGACTGGTGTACACACGATCGCCTCTCTAATAGCGTTCGCCGTTTTCACGCCGTTTCCGATATAGACGGGGAGTTAAGAGTTCTGTGACATCGCCGGACAAATTACGGTAGCCAATAACTTCGTGCCGGCGCTTTATCGTCGCGCGGCGTCGCGCGGTACTCGTTTGCGTAGCGGCCGTAATGAATGGTGAAACGCAACGAGATGTGATACAGAAACGAAACTCTACTAAGCACAGGAATTTTTATTCCAACCAGTTTGGTGTAAAACTTCTGAAATTATCGAGCAATTATATATACATGGAAAGAATGATTTTACTGAAGTATAATTCTAAAAATTCTTTGATAAAATTTAAAGAGATACAGATTTGAACATATTTTGTTGGACTATCAAAATAAATATATAGAGCGCTCAAGCATAATGCTACAAAAAGTTTTGAGATTCTAGCTTAACCCTCCTGTAATGAATATTTTGATCTGGTTTAACAAAATTCTTCCTGTGT